CACACGGTATCCGAGGGAAATTGCCTGGAACCTATTATACCATTACCAGCACAATGAGGGCGTAACGGATGACGCACGATCACGCTCCTATTAGTTCATGTTAAGGTGTGTTCACGTATATCACCATGTCAGGTAGATATATACCTGAGGAGAACGGTCTATTCCTTGTTGTTTTGACTGACCAGTACCACGTCATATGTCAATCTGGACTATATATGTCTGTGTGTTCTGAATATGGCAGCTATCAAGCGGCGGTCCGTTACAGGTATACAATCTGAAATGACAACCATTTTAGATTTGGTTTCTATGCACCATGCAGTTTTAATCGAAAGAATGAAAGATTCATTAATAAATGTAAATATCCCGTAAAGAACTGTTTCCATCTTTGTTTGATCTCGATTGGTATATTCTGTTGTTCAAGCTACTACAAGTTTGTCCTTGTGTTAAAAGTATGGTACCTATGTGTTCTTGTTCTTTCTCTTTATATTAAAGAAAATTGAAAAAATGAAAACAAATGATATATATGTATACATGTTATACTTAAGTTAATTATATACATATATTATTAACATTACATTGAAATTTAGTACCCCCTTCCCCGTGAATAAACATCACACTGCGTTTTAATTAAGTTTAAATGAGGAGTTGATAGTCTTTGCCAAGCATGTAACTGTAGAATAAATTTAAACGGTTAACCCTCCAATTTCCTATCGGTAACATATAGTGCATCATTTTGTTTACGCTTTTGTCGACCAGAAAAACGCATTTGGATGAAAATGTATCACCGGAAACATAGATCCATCAGGAGTTTTATTTCCCATTCCCAGGCCTTATTTTAAGTCACGAGTTACGTTTTTGACGGTAAACATTGACTAATGGTGTTACTGCCGTGGATCTTAATTCAATAAATACTTCTCTGTTCTGTATGATGTTCACAATAAACATAAACCGTTCTGTTTATAACGATGTACTGAGAGGGAAATATCGATAAAATGATATTTATTTTAATAAAATTGAATAATTAAGTGTCATTCGTATTCATTGTGTAATGTGAATTTAACGACATCAACTCTGTGTTGATATAAATAAAATTGGAGCCAATTTTTCTCTGGGGAAATAGTGGCAGTATAGCGAGGGTTTTCTGGATAAATGATAAAAAACAAAAGTTTGGTTTTGTGGGAAAATGGTGACAGTAAAGCGAGTTATGTTTTAGACAAATGGTGACAGGATAGCAAGTTATGTTTTTGATAAATGGTGACAGGATAGCGAGTTATGTTTAGATAAATGGTGACAGTATAGCGAGTTATGTTTTAGATAAATAATGACAGGATAGCGAGTTATGTTTTAGACAAATGGTGACAGGATAACGAGTTATGTTTAGACAAATGGTGACAGTATAGCGAGTTATGTTTTAGATAAATAATGACAGGATAGCGAGTTATGTTTTAGATAAATGGTGACAGGATAACGAGTTATGTTTTAGACAAATGGTGACAGGATAGCGAGTTATGTTTTTGATAAATGGTGACAGGATAGCGAGTTATGTTTTAGATAAATGGTGACAGGATAGCAAGTTATGTTTTTGATAAATGGTGACAGTATAGCGAGTTATGTTTTAGACAAATGGTGACAGGATAGCGAGTTATGTTTTAGACAAATGGTGACAGGATAGTGAGTTATGTTTTTGATAAATGGTGACAGGATAGCGAGTTATGTTTTTGATAAATGGTGACTGGATAGCGAGTTATGTTTTAGATAAATGGTGACAGGATAGCGAGTTATGTTTAGACAAATGGTGACAGTATAGCGAGTTATGTTTTAGATAAATAATGACAGGATAGCGAGTTATGTTTTAGATAAATGGTGACAGGATAACGAGTTATGTTTTAGACAAATTGTGACAGGATAGCGAGTTATGTTTTAGACAAATGGTAACAGGATAGCGAGTTATGTTTTTGATAAATGGTGACAGTATAGCGAGTTATGTTTTAGATAAATGGTGACAGGATAGCAAGTTATGTTTTTAATAAATGGTGACAGGATAGCGAGTTATGTTTAGACAAATGGTGACAGTATAGCGAGTTATGTTTAGACAAATAGTGACAGTAAAGCGAGTTATGTTTTAGATAAATAGTGACAGGATAGCGAGTTATGTTTTAGATAAATGGTGACAGGATAGCGAGTTATGTTTTAGACAAATGATGACAGTATAGCGAGTTATGTTTTAGACAAATGGTGACAGTATAGCGAGTTATGTTTTTGATAAATAGTGACAGTATAGCAAGTTGTGTTTTAGATAAATAGTGATAGTATAGCAAGTTATGTTTTAGATAAATAGTGATAGTATGACGATTTTTGGCTGTAAATAATATCATAAGGACTCGTTCACCCTTGTCTATAACAGGTTCTGGGGCAGTTATAAACTTTGACAAACTCGATGACCAATAGAGATAGGTTGCTTCTGATTAAAGGAAACAACGATCCTGAAATAACGCAGTTATGTTTGTAAGAAAGTTTGAGAGTGAGGATTATTATTATAGGATATTAGGTACATAGTTATAGTATATATCAAAATATTTATTTAAAGCTGAAGAAGAGGATAGGTAGTGACTTTAATTTCAAGTTTTAGAATAAAAGTCGTACGCACTTACTTAAAATTCTGCTTAGTTTTGGATTCGTATCAAGCTTAAATCGTTTAATAACACATATATTTAAAAAAAAAATGTGCTCGGTAATAATGTTTTTGATGTGGGATCATATGTAGAAAAGTGAAAATTATTTAAGTACACGTTGGCGCCCATTCTACTCTAAACTGCAATATTGGAACAGAACCAAAACTTAAACGTGAGCAATAAACTTGAAACTATTAATCTATTTTTAAGTATGACGTCTTTTATAATTACTGTACAAGTTGTATATAACTATTCCACTATACGTAGGTAATGCGTTATCGTTTATAACATTTGTATGGCCAGACTCCACATACTAATATACATTAAAATCCCAATTGATATGCTAGTGATGCCGAAATAAATCATCAAAGCGAAATATCTATTTAGCTGAAATATCAGGATTGAGTTTTATCGAGCTTCAACTGATGACAGAAATTTTCAAATAATTGCCAATATATATATAGTAATTGTAATATCTCTGTATATTATTACTCGAAGATCATTTAGAATCTAGACACGTATTTTGTTTCTATACTAAATGATACTGTATATGATATTATGATTGATTACAATGTTACAGTAATGTAACGTCAAGCTAACCAGGCGTTGTCGAGCTTGGTCCAGTATGTCAATCTTTGATGTTTTACACTGCATTAAAACCCATCTATCAGACATTTATCTTGGTTTAGATTTATTGGGTGAATAATGTTTGAATGAAAGTGAATCGCTATTATTGGGCCGTTCATGCATTTATAAAATAGTTTTCGGGTTTTTCTATGTCGTCTGACCGAACAGATTTAAAACGTTAAGCGGTTGCGTGGTTCCATCATTCAAAACCATAGTATATCATATAAAACAATTATCTGAAATCCTCAGTCCAAACATGCTTAACGGAGTTTTCAGTTGAAAAATATTCTAGAACGTTTGCTATAGCAACAACTGTTTACATTTAAAAAATAAGTTGTTTCAGTCATCTTTACTCTGCTAATGACTTGTCGACTGATCCAGTTTGTTTGTGAAATAGATGACGGTGTCTGAGATGTTCCTGGTACGTATTAAGTAATCTAGCCTCTTATTCAACGATGTTCTGACCCCTGATGATACTAACTTTTATGTCAGAATATCTTTACTATCTTTAGTAGCCGATAACTCTTTTACGACTTTACTTTTGTATTATCAATATTTGTTTGCACCATTGGACATTTTATCGACAATGAAAATGAGTTGAAAAAGATTTCAGGACATACTTTATTTTTCCCTTTTATAATCATAAGTTTACTTTGTTTTGAAATAGTGTGATTATGATTACCAAATATACCAAATAAACTAATTTGAAATGACGGGAATCTGAGTGGAATAAGTTTATATCCTGACCTTCCTAGTCGTACATTTAACTTAACATGTATCTAATGCGCGTTTTTATTCATGTTTAAATGTAAAGGAAACACGATTGATTATGAGATGTGAGTTTAGGATTTAAACAATCATTTTCTCACAATGTAGCGTAAGATTATATTATAAATCGGTTTATAAACAGAACGTCAGGTTGCTCTACCGTCTCTCGTGGAAAATCCTAAATCTAACCAAAGACAGTAGGATTATTTTCCTTCAGTGAGAAACTTGTTCAACAGTACACAAAAGTAACACCATATGTTGACCATACTTAGGTGCACCACTTAAAATGTCATCTGTAATCTACATAATTGTGAGATTTATATCAAGTTTTGTTAGCTTGATCGAATATCAAAGTCAACTTTAGATCAGTGATAATTCCATGATGGTAAAATACAATAAGAATATGCAAATTGTATCAAAAATGGTCACCCTCAGAAAATATTAACAGAAATATTTATATTTGCATATTTTTCTTATAAAATAAATTGAAACTTTGACTTAAGGACTCATTCACAGCTTGATAAACTGTATTGCGTACATGACATGTAATCATTAATATATGCAAGTATATTTCCTATACTATTTTACATGTGGTAGAGTATATTTGATTGATACATGTACACCTGTGTACCTGTCTCACCTGTATAGTCACCTGTAGTATTTACAATATAACTACGTACGTAATACTTACACAAACTATATATCTTGTCAAGGCACTTATCTGTACCCTTATTAATCGATAAAAAATAATTATTTATATAACTTTTTAGAAATTAACAACATCTTCTAGATTTACTTCAAGCTTACGAAACTACTTAATGGGAGGAAACAAATTAGTGATGTCAATCTGTCTGTATAATATATGACGTTTGCTTAACTGAGACTTGTCGATACGCTTGGATCAGATTTTATAATTTACCAACCAGAATAACTTATTGCTATTCGAATGTATAATTTCTGATTCGTCCTCCTATGCTGAGGCTTGGTCAAAACCTGACTTAACGCCTTAAATTGATCTTCTCAATTGTGAAGGATGAGTGGTTCGTAATCAATCAACTAGTTACACAGGTTTACCGGAGATATTTTACCTGTACAGGTGAAAATAAAAGTGTTGAAATGCCGAGAGAAAGCAAACCCACGCTCTAGTCAACCTTCAGTATGGGGTCGTCTTTGCAAGTGGAAATTGATCAGCTACCTGTGTTACAAATGTATTACCTGCTCCTTACACACGTTAGAGGATGTGTTTGTAATGTTTGAAATGCATTTTTCGGATTTATATGTTCTTACACAGGTAAACTATAGAAATGACGTGTCTCATTGTTTTTACTCTATTATCAGTAATATCAATTGAAATTATATTTGTTCCATACGTAAATTCAAGACGCTATATATTCTAGAAATATCAGCCAACAGACTTTATCAAGAAAAAATTGTTATATATATTTATATATCTTATACATTTCAGGAACACCATTAGATGGCGTAATAGCACAGTGAAGGGCCTTCATATAATAACAACGTTTTGAATTTAAAAATCTAAAAAAATGAAGGAGTATAGAATATCGACGCTATCTGTAATTGAAGAAATTCCGACAACAGAAAGTTACGATGTTACAAAAAATGACACCGAAGAAAATGACTTTATTGAACCCAATAATAACATTGATAAAGGAAACGAAACATCAAACAGTGATTTCCACGGAAACAACGATCTCCATGGAAACAATGAACTCCATGGGAACAATGATCTCCATGGAAACAATGATCTCCATGGAAACAATGATCTCCACAGAACAAACGATCAATGTGAGAAATGTGACACAGGCAATGGCAATGACCTTGGAACATTAAAGGAAAAAGCTACGAAACTAAAGTTAAAAACCAGACGAACAAGTTATGTGACATGGGAAACAGAGAAGTTAGTTCGATCCGGTGCGTTATTTAAAGCGAGGCTACAGCACGAGGTGGTCAAAGATCCACAGGATGACCAAAGCCTTACACCCGAACGGAAAGAAAAAATCAACAGTGACATCGGATGGATCCGGAAAGAACTGGTGAGTTTATCATAAGGTGCTTAATTTTGTATGATGACAAATTCTTTCTTTATTAGTCAGTTGATGAGATGATTGGGACAGTAGAGACAGAGGGAGACATGTGCTATAGATACACTCCTTAATCGTGTCTCCTCAGTGCGTGTTGATCAAACATTTTATAATTACACCGTTCTTATCTTTTGAATTGCATTTTCTCACGTTAATGTTTGGATAATTTCGTGGGAACCATGGTTAGGTGGATATGTTTGCATATTTTGTGTTTACAAACACACGAGTATAAACATTGTCACTAAATTGTTACGTAAATTTCAATGTACGTTTTTATAATAAAGGTTATACATAATACACAAGTTATATACTGAATCTTAATCTATTTCGCAGCATGCCATGAGAATATTCGATCAGAACCTGGCGAAAAAACTTCTGTCTCTGCGGCACGAAATGCATTCATTAAAATTGAAATGGAGTTGTGACGATCACAAAGAAATGATGGAAGAAGTCACGTGTGATTTGGAGGAGCGTCAGGTTCTTCAAGACGTTTGTGATCTGCCGCTTGGCCCAGTTGATATTAATCCGCTGAAACATCTAGGTGTGACGAGGATGCATTTAAGTGCACGACGTTTCAGTACGTGCTAACAGAACTAAATCTAATTCTAACAACAATGAGGACATACGTCGAGAGTATCCTATATTACGCCACGTGCCCGTTTTTGCAATATAACAGCGACTACTATTGGTTAATTATCTGACAGTTTTGAGTTAAGTGAACAAATAATATTCATGCATTTTATTGCATGTGTGCAGTAACATAAAATTATTTTGAATGTATTGTTTCCGTTGATTTTCGATATTATCTGTATCTCTTGTTGTTATTCATAAAAACGGAAAATACACACACAATCATATGAAGTTATTCAGCAATCTCATTAATCGTATTACAAAACGCTGAGAACTTACCTCGCCTCGATGGAAGTTAAATTCCACCCACGACCAAACATGTTTGTTAAATGCAATATGACCATATCTGCTGTTACAATGTAAATGGTGAAGTAATGTCTAAAACCATCGGATATACTTCTTTATTACATAAGGGTACCTGTCCTACTTCACTTTTTTCTTATATACAGTAACCTCCCCTTAAAATCATTTTGGAAGTAACTGTATCGCAGTTTGTATGAAAATATTATACTACAAAACCATAAAGAAAAGTGCACCGTTTTTTAAATATATATATGCCAATAATACTTTGATAAAGAATGATGTTTCCTTCCAACGAATAGTAACTGGACATCTTATAACAGTTAACCCCCCTTTTGAAGAGTGTCATAATACCATTCTTCACATTCCTCATTCCGTGCCAAAATTATCTGAATCTGTAACCCTGTTGTTAATTCATGCATAGCTTATCGAATTTTTAAAAAGTCTTATCACACACTCAGTAGATTAGAAACTGTTTGATACAAGTGAGACATGTACATAGTCTTTCCTATTATTTACTACTTGTGGTTCAGTAAATTGTTTTGTGTGATTTGTGTGGAACCTTCTGAGACGAAACCAGGAGGCCGTATTTGCCTGGACCAAATTAAAAAATTTAAGTTCCGGTTTTGAATCTCGGTCCAGTCCAGCTGCTATTTACACTCAGAAAACTGTTGTATTTTTTCATTTAATTATGATTTCTTTTAAGCAATGATTTATCAAAGCTATAGTTGTGCCAGGAGAGACAGTTTTCAATGTGAGGTTACGGTTTTTGGCAGTGGGATCCTTAAGTAAATCAGTTGATACATACCGTATATGACGACATTGGATTGAATTTATTAGAAACAAAAGGCCACTTTTTATAGATTGCAAATAATGAAAGTGTCTCTTCCTGTGAAAGTGATGTTTTGATTGACATATGATTAAACATTGTATATGTTGAAAGAGTATATTGTGCACAAAATAAACTGCTACATCAGTATATTAAAATATGTTGAATTATAGATAAACTTCTTGGTTTGCAGAATTTGTTTATATAGACACGTGTGGAATTATATTGCTGGTTTAAATTGTTATTAAGGATGTACTCTTCTGAGGTTTCAGTCACGTTCAAGTCTCGTTTTGATCTAGTGTAACGGGTTTTTGTAATATTTAACAAATTAAGATAGGTATAATAGCACACACACATCTGAAAAACATATAAAAAAACCTAGATGTCTGTTGTGTGTAGAACATTTTTTACAAGAATTTTAAAAAAATGACCAATTTGGCGGCCATTTTGAAAAAGTGTATTTATGTGAATTTCTTGCCTTCATAAAGGGCCAAAATTTCACCTTTTTTGGCACTAGATTGATCACTTGAATTGTCATTGTGTCACCATTTTTAACTGTAGCAGGTTCAATTTTGCTGTACAATTTTATAATGTTCAATATGATTAAAATAATATGCAAAAAAGTGGAAAGTTATAGTTTATTGATATAATTTTTTACATATTAGGGTAACTGAAGCACTTTTGATTTTTGACCTCGAAAAAGGTAAAAAAATAACACAAATAATAATGGGACAAAAAAAGAAGCACACCGACCCCCCATTTTTGTGGCTGTTTTAGAAAGAGAAACACATTTTCTTTTGATTCATTGAATACTAAAAAAAGTTTAATACAGGATTTTTTTATATCAAGCGTTTAATCTGCAAAAAATGGTGAAAAATGTGCATTTTTTCATTAAAAAATAAGGGGTAGGGGTAACTAAAATCGCATTTCTGAGTAAAATGAATAAGATTAAGACATTTTACTTCCATAGTTTCAAAGAAAATAATATTTTTATCAATTCTACAAACATTCATACATATCTGATAACACACTTGAAAGAAATTGTATGAATTTGTTCTGCAAATGGGCAAAACCCGAAAATTTACCTAAAATCACATATTGTGTTAAATTGGTATCTTTGGCCGATCATAGCACAAAAACGAGCACACGGACATATATTTGTTTTTGCATTTTCTACTATGCCATTATCTCCTTTTTCCAAAAATCAAGATAAGAAAAAAAGTTTAATACAGGAATTTTTTGACTTCTCAGAGGTGTACATCCTTAAGTCATTTTTAAAATATACATATAACGTCTTTATGTTTTTGTTATTCGTGTAGACATGTGCGTTGGATTTTTGGCCATTGCTGTGAATTACACGATGAAGTGTTGGCTTAATCAAAATAGGTGAATTAACGATTATTTTCATTCAAATTTAATTTTAAATATCATGAAAGAGATATGAACGAAAAACTGTAACATTTTCCCGTACATGAAAAGCAGATAAATAAATAAATAAAAATAAGAAGGACGCATTGCCTTAGTTTTACATAAGACGCAAGAAATGTTATATTCCTGCATCCAAGCAAAATATACCAATAAACAAACTTTGAGTCATGCGATTGTTTGAAATATGTTAAAGTGCGTTTTAGAGTCAGATATGTTATTTTATAAAAAAAATATATCAATAAAAACACTATAAATCAGTTTTTTTGTTCAACTCCTTGCGAATGTGTCAAACAAACAAGAGGCACAGAGGGCCTGTATCGCTCACCTGTTTCTTTTGTTACATGAAACTGACATATAGGTATAACTTAAGACCAAATTTGGTAACTAGAACACAAGACATTTTAACATCTCTTAAACGGTTCTGAAGATATCGTTGTTTAAAATTTTTATTTTTATTTTAAAGCTTTTAACCCACTTTGACCTTTGACCTCCGACTTCCACTTTAAGTTGACCTTTGACCTCATTACTGTAAAAAAACACCAATCACACAGCTGGTCTCCATAACATACCCAAGTATCATGACTCTAGTCCAAATGATTCTTAGGATATTGTTGTTTGAAGTTTTTAACATATTTGACCCCTGTGACCTTGAAATTAGGTCGTCATTTTCATGAGGGAACTTTATAGCACTCCATCCCAGGTACCTACTGGCCAAATATCATGACCCTAGGTCCTACAGTTCTTCAGACCATGTGAGCTAAACAGTTACAGTTATAATAACACCAACCATTTTTACCGCCCGCTTTAGAGTATGACTCTGTTTTGTGCTGAGTGTTTTTATTTGTGTATATTTTACCTGTGTGTAGACGCTCAAGTTTGTTTATTTACTTCAGTGTTAGGTCGTCTGTTCATCCATGCGGTTGTCATATATTCGTAATAAATGAATGTTCCTTGAATATACAAAACGTGATTATATCATTCGAAGTACACACGTTGGGTAAGTGATATGACGCGCCGAACAACGTTATCTGCAATGTATTTGTATAACAGAAGCATTCGGAGATATCGGTGACAGTGCAGTTGTCTGTATCGTTATATTACGATATGTTTGACTTAAGCTATTCCACTTATTTGGTTATCAATAGAAGTTTCTAACTGTTTAAGTGGAAATTTATTCAAAACATGATATTCAGTTAAACAGATGCGTTTACATTTACAACCTTTTTTCGAATTTTAGATTGCATAATCAATATCTACCACTTTATGTGTAGAATGAAAAGAACTACTGTAATGTACATGCTGATATCGGGGAGTGTCACTCTAATTCCACGACGAGCGTTCACACTTGTTAAGTTGATGTACCTGCTTCTCCAATCAAATTCTTATATTTACATCTGCTTTCGAAATTTTACAGAAAAAATGTGAAAAATACATACAAAACCTCAGCTAGCATCAATATTGTGGTCTATGGACTATGAGATACAATCCGAAATCTCGTGTAGTTATTTATTTGTCAGGAGAAAAAACAAGACTGAGAGGTACAATAGGTGGTTAGGAGTAAATCTTGGGTAGGGTTAACACCTACACCAAGCTGTCACTCTAAACAACACTTTAAGCTCGATTATATTTAGTTTATTCCAAAAGCAGTACAGCATAAAGGAGTGTTACAATGAAATAACACACATGTGTTAAACGTAGTCAATGAGTTGTATACAAGATAATGTACCGTTCCGCGTCGTAGTTCGTGAATTCATTAATTGACGAATTTACTACACAATCTTAGTAGCTGTCACGCCTGGCAGTGGCAACACACAAAAAGTTACCAAGATTTTTTAGTTGTTTAACAGTCCTTACAGACATGAGTTGTACAAGCTTGAAGACGCCAGAAATATGGCTTAATATATTTGGTTCTAATATCAGAATAAAAATGACAAACTAGAATATAATGATACTCGTTTACTACTCATCAACATTTGGTATAAATTCTTAGGTGTCTCGCAAAATTGCTATGCACAGATTCAGTATTAAGATTATGTGATGAAAGCCTATATTTACAGCTTATTTTCTTATACTTATCTGTAACATGTTAACATGAATAATATTATAGTGTTTGTAAATATAACACTTTGATAAATTGACAAAATGCATTTTAGTGTTCTGTAGGTGACAATCTCTAACTCTTTGTTTGAGCTCAGATATAAACTTGTTTTCATTAAATACGTTCTGAGCATACCGTATCGCAGCAAAACCACAAGTACATAAAAACTCTTTTACATTTGTTAACCAATGAACACTACCCGACATACAAGAATCAAATAACACTTTATTACATGAGATTAAGATACAATTATTTAACATAACGGGTTTCAACCAATATTTTATAATTCTACTAGTTCTTGTCAAAAACATAAGTAAACTTTCTTATTTGAAAGATAACGTATCATGTGATGTGGTCTTACGTACAGACAATAAGTTCCTTACTGACAAGATTTCAATCCAAGCCAGGACGCAGATGTGTAGACTACCGCGATTCCCCTGTATTCAAACCAAAACGTCCTAACAGACAAGCGTCCACTGTATAAATAAAACATGTCAAGACTAACGGGGTTCAAATATAAAAACAAACCAAAGTATACAAAATAAAAAAAAGGTTTCACTGTCCGCACAAACCAAACTGTTCTAGACTAACAGGGTTCCACTGTAAATACAAACTAAATAATCACGATTAACAGGGCTCCACTGCATACACACCAAAGTATCCAGACTATTAAGGTTTCACTGCACACAAACTAAAGTATCCAGACTATTAAGGTTCCACTGCACACAAACATGTCAAGACTNCACTGCACACAAACCAAAGTATCCAGACTATTAAGGTTCCACTGCACACAAACCAAAGTTTCCAGACTATTAAGGCTCCACTACACACAAACCAAAGTATCCAGACTATTAAGGTTCCTCTGAATACACAAACCAAAGTTTCCAGACTATTAAGGTTCCACTACACACAAACCAAAGTATCCAGACTATTAAGGTTCCACTGGACACAAACCAAAGTATCCAGATTATTAAGGTTCCATTACACACAAACCAAAGTATCCAGACTATTAAGGTTCCACTGGACACAAACCAAAGTATCCAGACTATTAAGGTTCCACTACACACGAACCAAAGTATCCAGACTATTAAGGTTCCACTGGACACAAACCAAAGTATCCAGACTATTAAGGTTCCACTGTACACAAACCAAAGTTTCCAGACTATTAAGGTTTCACTGCACACAAACTAAAGTATCCAGACTATTAAGGTTCCACTACACACAAACCAAAGAATCCAGACTATTAATGTTCCATTACACACAAACAAAAGTATCCAGACTATAAAGGTTCCACTGCACACAAACCAAAGTTTCCAGACTTTTAAGGTTCCACTACACACAAACCAAAGTATCCAGACTATTACGGTTCCACTACACACAAACAAAAGTATCCAGACTATTAAGGTTCCACTGCACACAAACCAAAGTATCCAGACTATTAAGGTTCCACTACACACAAACCAAAGTATCCAGACTATTAATGTTCCATTACACACAAACAAAAGTATCCAGACTATTAAGGTTTCACTGCACACAAACCAAAGTATCCAGACTATTAAGGTTCCACTACACACAAACCAAAGTATCCAGACTATTAATGTTCCATTACACACAAACAAAAGTATCCAGACTATTAAGGTTTCACTGCACACAAACCAAAGTATCCAGACTATTAAGGTTCCACTACACACAAACCAAAGTATCCAGACTATTAATGTTCCATTACACACAAACAAAAGTATCCAGACTATTAAGGTTTCACTGCACACAAACCAAAGTATCCAGAC